GTCGAATGGCATGATGGATGAGTTCTGTTCGTTCAACAACTCTGTCGATAACTGCGTTGCTATGGCATGCAAAAGGCAAGTTATGTCTCATCGTTGGTCAATCCGCCGCCACACGATACAAGTTCTCCGATGTTGGGAGGACGAGAGGCTGGACTGCCACTGCATACCGCTGCGATGCTCCGACTCTGATCGCCGTGATGCGAGGAGCATCGATGCCCCTGTATAGAGGCATGTCAGCATCTGCCATGAGCACGAAGACTTGCACTCGGAAGCAATGCACCAGACCCGATCGTATAGAGAGACTGTTTGAAAGCCAGCTCATCTTCTGATATGGCGAGATCAACATTCTGGTCATGATACTTGAGGCATTGGATGGGGCGATACCAAGCTTAGTGACCCAAATGAATGCTTGAGCACGCTAAGTCAGAAGACAGAGAAAATACGAAAGTGCGCAAGAACTTTTCTCTTAAGAATATGTTCCACGGGAACCTCTATTATCTACCGAAAACTCGCTACATACAACACCCTTCTCCTGCCTTCCTGACGTGTTCGTGTATCGAAAGCTATAACGGATAGCGGCACGCTGCGCTGGTGAAAATGTACGATCTATCTAGCGATACCTACGCAAAAACGAGGTACCGTTCCTCATCGATAAACCACTTAAGCAGTGAGAGTTTTCACATCTCCGTCCTTCAGCTTGCCGGCCGCAACGAGACGCTTGACTTCTTCAGACCAGACAGCCTTGATCTCGTCGGCGACCTTGAGGCCGCTGAGCTTGCCGGCCAGGGCAGCGATCTCGTCAGGATCGATCTTGGACTGGACCAGCTCGACGTCGTTCAGCACGCCATCAATAGTGGCTGGCGAGGCGTCGCCAGAGGCGAAGTAGTTTGCATCCTTGACCGAGCCCTTGAGAACACGCTTGTTCTTCTTGACGGCGTTCTTGGCCGCCTCCTTGGCCTTCTTGTTGGCCTCACGGTCGAGCTTGGCCTTCTCCTCGGCCTCCTTGGCTGCCTTCTCCTCGGCCTCCTTCTTGGCGCGGGCCTCCTCGAGAGCCTTCTTCTCGGCAGCCTCCTTTTCGAGGCGCTTCTTGTTCTTGGCGGCGTTGGCCTCCTGGCGGAACTTCTTGATACGCTCGTCGCCAGCAGAGCAGTCGTCTAGAATCTTCCTAAGACGAGCGTTGTCCTCGGCCTTCTTCTTCTTGCGGGCATTGGCGTTCTTGCGCTCCATGTGTCGCTTCTGGTCACGGTTCTCATTGTCATCGGGCACGTCCTCATCCAAGTACTCGAACGAACGCCAGCTATCGAAGTTGTACCAGAAGTTGTAGAATGCCTCGACCTCTTCCTTTGTCGAATTCTCGTCGCCAAACTGGGGGACTGGGTGTATCTTGCTGAACCGAGACTCGGCACGGAACACGTTACCCCAGAGCTTGTAGAAGTTCTTGCCACCTTTGGCCGCAAGCTCCTTCTTAGTGGGAGGCTCGACTTCGGCCTTCTCGTCGATCGAGTCAAACTGGCGGCGCTTGACGGGGTCGAGGAGAACCTCGGTAGCTTTCTGGATGCACTTGAAGAAGTTGTCATCGTCTGTACGGCCGGCAGCCGCCTTCTTGTCGGGATGATGCTTGAGAACCTTCTTGCGATGGGCTTTCTTGATCTGATCCTCGGTAGCCTTGTAGCGGTATTTTGAGAGGCCGAGGACCTGGTAATGATCTTGGCTCTGAGAGAAAGCAGTGGTGTTAGCGTTCGTTTCCGGCAAACCATCATGGTATTACCACGAGACCACAAGTGTTGTCTTACCTTCCAGTCCTTGGCTTCGCGTTGGAGCATCATAGGATCCTCGGGCTCGCTGATGTCGCTGTCTTCGTCTTCCTCGACGTTCTTGGCACGCTCTTGGGCTTGTATGCGGTCATCCTCAGAGAATGTGCGCTTGTGACGGGCTCGGCGAGCGTGGGCGAGGAAGTGAGGTCCAACGGGCTCAATGGCCCTCTGCGTAGCAGCGCTGAGCTTGCCGATGGGCTTGAAGTCTTTCTCAGCCGCCCAGCCCTCGGGGAGCGAGGGCAGAGCTCGGGGAACCACGGTCGCGGTAGTCATGATTGGTATGCAGACCTCGCTTTAGTATAATCGCGATTGTTGTTCCTGGACGAAGAAAACCGGATGAAAGCAGAAAAGTCAATGTCGAGTTTTTGGTGGGGCTGGTCCCTGTCGTCCGTCCGTAAGGTAGTTCCGCCGGTACGCAGTAATTTTTTAGCTCAACATCTGCTTGTGGGGCCGTCTTGTCTCTCTCTGATTCGGGCTGTGTCCAATCGATGCGGATCCCACCGGCACCAGCTGCCAAACACGCAATTGACTTTGGACATGGCAAGCATCTGAGGTTGCGAAGCTCCGACTGCGTACTGCATAAGGTATATGCATTTTTCATACACACACACCCTGGACACCACCAACACCGTTACTAGGACCTCAACCGCCGCCATAAGCCTGTCCGATGGCGCTCGTAGCGTATCGAAACCTTCTCCGCGCCGCGAGGATCGCCTTTGATGGTATGCGCCACTTCTCAAGGCCACTTCTTCAGAGGCTTGACGGAGTCCCATGCGAGAGGCTAACCACTGGCTTTTAGGCGACACCCGCGTCCTGACTGCTGCAAGAGAGCAGATACAGCAAGGTTTTCGAGACATGAGATCACTACCAGCCTCGGACCCGGCAGTGCAAGCTGCTGTCCAACACGCCCAGGAAGTTGCCAGCTTCCTGAGGTCGAACGTGGTGCAAGGGCAGAAGGAAGGGGATGTGTACAGTCAGTTTTTGCCTTCCATGCTAGACAGCTAGTGTATCGCCAGAAGTTAACATTCGATATTAGAGCTACGGATACATGACGAGATAGAGCGAGGCGACAACGACACGATCAAGATAGGGGGAAAGACGGTCAAGATCGAGGGAGGAAAGTGTTGCAGTGACAGGTGACCTTGAGGCATCCCCGCTGAATATGACGGATTCTTCCTCTTCCTCTGAAATGCAGTCATGAGAGGGACCTCACAACAAGCAGGTGGCATCATATAGCATGCCGTGCGTTCGAGGCCATGGGTCACTGACCGCGACCGCGGAGCGCCTATGCATCCACCGATGCTGATATCTATACCACTCCGCTGGTCGTCTGCGCATCGGAAGAGTATAGTGGAAGAGCGCCAACTCGAGCTACCTGGATTGGTTGCAGCAATATGTACTGTATCTGTAAAACAAAACAATCATTGATACCCACGACTGCTGCCAAAAGGAACGGCTTGACACACTTGGGCTGATGCTTGCACGGGTAAATTATCACGTTGTTAGCAAGTACTCCCATAATGGGAGCCATGTCTTTCTGTCCCATCCTTATCAGCGGGCGCCGTTTACGTAGGCGGATTTTCCTAATACCATGCTATGCCTGAAGGCGGAAACCATGATAAACTTTATGTGAACCATACGCCTCGTCCTGCCCAACGACCAGTATTCTTGTGACCAACGCCTAACGCCATAGATGCAATCGTGATACGCCCATCGACCCTGCTCAGTTTCCAGCTAAACTCTCGTATTGAACCTCTGTAGCGCCGGGCGGTGGGGCAATCGCAATGTCGACTAAGTCATCCTTCTGCTGGGCGGGCGCTTGACCACTGCCCTCAATCGCCTTCTGGCTGCCAGCTGCGTTTTTCGGACGCGCGAACGCGGACCTGCCATCTCGTATCATCTCAAGACGCTCTTCCTTGTTCATTGTACCGATTGCCTTTGGCTGTCCCCATCGTATGCGTAGAGGACACCCAGCGATCACGGCACGACCCTTGCATTCCTCCGCCGCCCTCTCCGCCGCTTCGCGCGTCTCATAGTTGACGAAAGCGCAGTGCGACATGTGGGAGACGACGAGAGACTTGATCTTGCCGAACGCTTTGAAGAAATCGCGGATCTTGAACTCGGGCAGATCGTCCTCTATGCCTGTCACAAACAGGGACATGATATTCTGGTCCGCGGGCGGAAGCCAGTCTTTAGGAGTCGGCGGTTGGCTGATACCGGTTGGGAAGGGCGCTTTCCGTCCCGGTCGTTGCCCGCCGGGTCTTGCGCTGCTTGCTGATGGTCTCGAATCTCGCGATCGGATCGGTCCAGGTCCGCCGTTGGCCGCACCTCCACTGCTACCACCACCAGCAGACTCTGATGTCGCATTTCCATCCTCATCGACAGCCCTGCCTTTCCTGAAATACGGCTTGCTCTGAGCCAAGCGCCTCAACAGTTCACGTGCCTTGTCGTCCGCCTTGTCGTATTCCTCTATGCCTGCCCTTCCTTCCTCGATTGCGCGCTCGTTATTTTGCGCGAAGTACTCGCGGTTGATGTCACTGCTGGGTCCCGGTGCCACGAGCTCGAGGGCCTTGTCGCGGATGACGATGGGTAGGCCGAACTGCAGGTCCATGATGCAGCACTGGCAGGCGTTCTTCAGACGGGCGCAGGTCAGACAGATGTTGGTTCGCTTGCGTCGGCCATGAGCGCGGTCAGCAGCCCACTGGAAAACGGTGAAAGGGCGGGTACAGAGCTTGCATTCGGCGCCAAAGTCTTCCTTGAGCATCTTGACGTAGGGATTCGCGGGGAGGCAGTTCTCGCACACGGATGGAAAGTCGGTGCTTTCCCACCCAGACCGGTTGAGATCTTGCTTTATCTGCGGAGGCATCTCGACACAACTCAGAAATCCTATCCTGTTGACGGTGAGATGGGACGACAAGAAGAGTAGAAGTTGTGACGGGATGTTGGGGTTGTCGCTTTGAGTGTCTTGAAATTCCCAGGCAGGTGATAAATCCACTAGAACTAGAGGAGGGCACGGACCATCCTGGAACAGCGCCACGAGTGACAAATCCAACCTATGCTCTGCAGAAGTCAGGACCGTCGATGAGCAACAAACAGCAACTTGCTGATCACCAGACACCCTATGTGTACATACAGCAGGACTGTCAAGACAAGTACTATTTTACCAGGCCCGGCAAAAATGACGCTCGCCCGAAGAGGGGCTCGAACCCTCGACATTGGGATGTCGGACTTGAAGAGTCGTAAAAGTCCCACGCTCTAGCCAACTGAGCTACCCGGGCGGTTGGCGGATCATAGTTAAGCCGTCATACGATCTAGGAACTTGTACTCATAGTGTAGAGATAACCTGATTATACCTAGGATGGAATTTTTGAATCAGTAATGGTCAAGTGGTGGCATCTAATACACATGCTTGAGTCTACACATATAATCAGAATAGTGTGGGCTGTGTACGTTACTCTGGCATGTTGTTTATCACAGTGCTACATACCTCACCGAACACTCTTGCTGTTGCGTAGAGCACATACACGTTGCCGGTACCCAAAGCTGAAGGGAGAGACAATTCTTCCGGAGTATTTGCTCCGGGATGATAGTGAAGTGATTCAATTACGTCAGAGTGGGGACGCGCTTAGCAAGCCGGCGAGAAGGACGGGATTCCATGTTTTCCAACCTGGAATGCCATGGCCCATGGCCTATCGGCGACCATTGGGCGCACTCATTTCATGAGGGGATTTACCGATCCCCATTGCAGGCGATCCTGAGCAGAGATCCGCAAGGTCCGACACGGCGGGTCAAGGGTCGAAGCTCGCAAGGTCCCCTAATCTGCTGCTTCTGCACGGCCATTCATATGCATCGATTGCTTTTTTTTTCCCACCCTACCATCAGGCCATCTGCTGTCGACTTCCCATCCTATACTCGTCATCCGTCTTGACCGTCCACGCCGTCGACGTGAGCGTGCGATGACCTGCTGCGCTGCATCCGTCCATGCCCAATCGTGTTCCGAGGAAAGTCAGCCGGTTTCCTGATGGCATTTGGCTGCATGGATACGCGGCTCAAATGTTCACGATATTAGTATTGTCCCCCGCCTGCCACCTTATATTCTGCGTGAATTGGAACTCCCAGTGGGCACGATACTCGGATCGACTTATGTGACAGGTCCTGGGCGGTGTCACACGCGGTCTCGAATCCTCTCACAAAGTGCTGATGGGTTCGACACGCCGCACATCCGCGCAGGTACGAGCTCCGTCCACCTCTAATCTCTCGACTTCCACGGTCCTTAATAGCGGTGCCGCCAGCAACCATCATGTCCCATCTGAAGCGGCCGACCCTGCTCCCTGCCGACTCGACCTCCAACACAACACCATCCGACCGTAGCCCACCTTTCCTTACCAGGGCCGTCGCGAGGCGACACATGACAACAAATGCTTGCGTCGGTTGTCGCAAGAAAAGAGCAAAGGCATGATAACCTCCATCCTGACCGTGGCACTTTTCCTGTCTGACTGAGGCCGTCCATCAACATGCCACTGAAGAATTATCTGACTCTGACATTTTCTCATCCACTATGCAGTGCGATGGCAGATCTCCCTGTTCCAGGTGTGTCGCTCGCAATGAACGCTGCACCTACAAGGCCAAAGCCAGTATAACCAAGGACGATCTACGGGCCGAGGTCGAGTCGCTCAGAAGCGAGAGACTTAACACCAGGGCAGTCCTGAATGCCCTGCTTCTCGATAAGCATGAAGGCATCGTGCAGCGACTACGCTCTGGGGAGACGGTGGAGTCTATAGCCCAGGGTCTGATTGCCGAAAAAACTGATGATGACGACGATGACGATGGACAAGAAATGGCGGGCATACGGCAGGAGCAGCCATCAACACCGATGCCCTTTTCTTCAGCGTACAGTGCATCACAATCGACGGCCTCGAGTGCGAAAGGCCCCAAAGGCACGGATCCCGCTGTCAATGCCATCATCAAGCAATTCAAGGTCGACCATACGGCGTCCCCAACTGGTGGTATTGTCGAGCTACCAGAATGGCTGATAACCCATGCTTATTCAGCTGCTATCGCAAAACCCCCGTTGTCGACGCAGCCTGGCGCTAGCCGCCGACATAGCTTCGACGACACTAGCCTCGCCGAACGTCTGTTGGTCCTGGGAAACAGAGTGTGGACGAAGGTCACACCCGACAGGGCCCTTCTGAAGCATTTAATCGAACTGTTCTTCTCTTGGGAATTTCCCCCTTTTACCATGGTTTCCGAGCAGCTATTTCTCCGTGACTTTTACCACGGTGGTCGGCAGTTCTGTTCTCCGGCCCTCGTCAATGCTATCGCGTGCGTGGCAACTCGTTATCTGGAGCCCAGCCAGGCCACTTCGTCCGGCGATGCACACCTTCTTGGAGAGCAATTTTTCAGTGAAGCCAAAGGTCTTCTTGTGGTTGAGACACAAATGCCTAGTTTCCCAAGCATACAGACCTTCGCTCTACTTGCTGTGCGAGAGATGTCCTGTGGTCGGGAGTTGGAGGCCCAAGAACTCTGTATTCAAGCTGTTCGTCTTCTGTGTGCTCTCGACTTTGAAGATCTGGAAGCACACCGGCAGTCCACCAATCACCTTGTGGCAAGGTCAATCACCTTTGCGGGGATCTTGACACTCACCCGGTATGTCACCCCTTCCTCGGTTGATTGGCATGTTGCTCAATATCACGGATGTATAGCGTGTCTAACTTCTTCACCTAGTGCCATACGGCTTATCGCCGGCCAACTTTCCCCGGCTTCTAATTACTATTACTCAGATTTGCCCCTGGTATCGAATCTTGCTCCCCGTGATAATGGACCTGCAGCTACCCAGCTTCATGAACGCAGTCAGTCTCGTACTCTAGACAATGTTTGACAGGCTAGGCTAACAGTAAAGACTCAGTGAGCGAGCTCCGGAGTAAAATGCACAGAGATCCAAAATCAAAGCCGGCAGACATGTTAAGCAGCTTCATATTCGATCAAACTGAATATGTCTACTCCTTTCTATTCCGGGCTGGCCGGGTTGGCAGCCCAAGGACGATCGAGCACCTTCCAGCTGTCTATCGGAAGTGTCTTCAGTCTTATGAGACGATCACAAATTTCATGAAAGAGCAGGGTGACTCATCCCCTTGCACTCTATTCGCGCAGTAAGAGATCACATATGTGTCCCGTATGTCTCGTGGGATGTGATTAGACTAAACCATCACTTAGCATTTACTTCCATTTCTGTCTGCTCACCCTTTTCCGTCCTTTCGTCAATTTCGAGGTGGATGTGGCCGGTATCTCGCCACGGACTGTCTGTAGTGAAGCCGTCCAAGCCATTCTTGATGTGACGCAGAGCTATGCTGACTTGTTCACACTCCGGCGGACTCCATGCTTTGTTCCCTACTTTGTCTTTGCAGCCGGCCTGACGCGCATCGTACTCGAAAGCAACGAGACAACAGAAAACTCGTCCTCACCCGCTTCCGCTATAGGGTCTAGCCCCGCTACAGTCAATACGGAGCTGAAATCACCGCACGAAATAGGTGCGAGCAACGATGGCGGAGACATATCCATGTCAGGAATCGACAGCCAAAGCTCGTTGTCGCCTACTTGGACGACCAGCACAGCCACGACCGCGGGGAGCACCTCCGCTACCACCGCGAGCACAACCTCTGAAGAAGAGCGTGGTTTGACCCAGGCTGTGCTTCAGCTTCAAGAAATGAGTGTCGGCCACCCTGCGGCTGCTCAAGCTGGATGGGTTTTGCGTGACTTTGACCCGCGTCAGAAGGACTCCCGCTGAAATCGTCCGCTAATGAAGTTTGATATATATATTTAATGGTGGCCGTCATGGCGTAGCTTTCTTTAGCGTAGCCGGCTGAAGCATGCGCGACGACGTATAACGATTATGAGCGACTGTCCAGTTGTGCGGAGGCGTTGATGGGACGGCTCAAATACCCGCTGAATCATTTTGAGGCGTATGTGTGACGATTTGTAACTTGACGAATCTGATTCTTCAATGCAAGGCTGGGCCCATTGGCAGTGCCTGTACGTGGCCCAAACACCATTGCGAACCCTCGCTGACAGTGACATGCCTCAGGCGTGAATGTGCTGAGGACCTCTCTTTGTGATAGCATAGGATGAAAACGCAGGGGTCGCTCCAATCAGTCGCCTTGAGCCCATCTCGGTTATGCCTGATAGACGGCATACCCACGTTAAAGACGCACAACCCGATGACAATAAGCAGTGAAGAATGATTGCGTCTCACCTTTGCGTATGGAGGTTCGAGCTGCAACATAACCACTGTGGCTGTTGCGTGTATCTTCATCGTTGCCCCTGCTGGACCATATACGCCCGCACAACAACTTGGATCGGCAGCTAGTCACGAGGCTAGGCAACATTACCCTACATCGCTCAATCATGGCACACTGTACATGTCCACCGTGCCCACAGGCTCCGTCTTGCTGCCGGGACCACGCCGATGGGGAAAGTTAGTCGTGCACCCTCAATCCTTCCACAGAAGGAGACACTCATGGAAGTCACAAGCACATTCGTTCCCAAACCTAGCGCTGACTTTGATTTGACAGCAACTGCACCTGTAGTAGCTCGCCAGATGTTACTAACTGCGTTGCCATGTCGATTACATGGACAGACCAAAGCGCCCATGTCAGTCATCATTTGCTATGCTGTCGTAGCATTCTGTGGAAGCATGCTTAACGGCAAAGCTCTATGGTCTGTACTGACTGCGCTTGACCACTACTATATAATCCACTGCCAGGGCAGGGCGCCTTGCCACGGCGATCCTTCTTGGTAGCCTCGTCAGGGATGGCAACAACCCCTCCGGCACCACAGTTGTCTATATAAGTATATTGCCGCTGGAGGCAGTCGTTCAATCGGCTTGAGGTTGACCAGCGTGTGTCGCAGGCTGGTTGGAAGACCAATCTATGTCTTGCTGTTCGCCGCTAACCCGGCCGAGGAATTCTCACGCCCGAAACTTGCTTCGAATACGGCGAAGCCGGTAGTCTTTCATTATCGGCCCATTGGTTCACTGGGTACATTCGGCTCAAAGCGAAGACGAGCAGATTCCGGCAGGAGACCAAGCAGTCGCCCCGGTCTGCCGGGCCGTACGGTGATGCATATACAGCTTTGGTGGCGGGTGGAAGTTGTGCTTGTCGGCTATGGATAAGATCGTGGCTCTGCTATATAGCTCGAACAGGGAGGCTTTGTGAGGTTGAAACAAGATACCTTACTACGGCGACTCCAGCGTCAAGGGTGAGTACGGAGCTTTGGTACGCTA